TCCTGCTTCTTGGCAGGGGGTTGGACTGGATGGCCCATGAGGTCTCTTCCAACTCTTTGATTCTATGATTCTGTGATGTTGTCAGACCACAACTCCCATCAGCCCTTAGCCAGCACAGCCAGTGCTAAGACATACTGGGACTTATAACCCATAGGGAAGGTTATACTAGAATCTCCACAACACAGTAGCCACTGCTTCATACAAGTACATATAAAACAAGGGAAAAGCAACACCTACAGAAATCCCCATTCTACACAGCCATTATATCAACAGGAGTGTAGTCTCTTATTTCACTTGCTAAGCTTGGCATTCACAAATTCACCCTTACCACCTGCAACACACAATGATCAAGTTGAGGAAGAGGGTATCCTTGGCTTTTGCTGACTGGGTGGATCGACCTCAGTCCCTGCCTCCCAATGTGTACATTGGACTTGGGCTGAGAATATCATGAACTCCATTTGATCTTCAAGTGCTACATCTCTGCAAGAAATGACAGCTCCTTTTACTATCTCATTAGGCTCCCAAATCGATGTCATTTATATGTTGCGGGAGAGCAACAAATCCAGACAAGAAAGCGAGAAATAAAGCGATCCCCCGTTATCTCCTGCCCTCCATTCATTCATATTCCTTTAACAACCCTGGCTCTTGCCATCTGATACAGGGAGAGCTACACACACTTGTCTGCTGATTTTAGCTTTCCTAGGTGTATTGTTTACTTGATAGGACTGCGCTGGTTTTTAAACCGTCAGATAACAGAAAATTACACCGTTCCCCTGATGCTTACACCACAATTGTTGTCATACTTCACCACATTGGCAATGCACTAAGCTTAGAGATGAGGAAAGTAAGTCAAATCTGTGGTCTAATATGTTTTTGGTGTTCGGCTGATGGATCACACACAAGTCAAGGGCAAGCCGCTGCCAAATATGTGTGTACATACTGTCTTTTCTCTGTCTCCTTCTTTCTTTCCTTTCATCTTCCTTCTGGAGTCCCAGGTGGTGCAGTAGGTTAAACGCTTGTGCCAGCAGGACTGCTGACCGAAAGATCGGTGGTTTGGATCCAGGGAGTGGGGTGAGCTCCCATCTGTCTGCTCCAGCTTCCTATGCAGGAACATGAGAGAAGCCTCTGAGATGATGGGTGTCTCATGGACAACATCCTTGCAGATGGCCAATTCTCTCACACCAGAAGCGACTTCCAGTTTCTCATGAAAAAACCCTTCTTTCTCTATCTCCTTCAGTCTCTTTTTCTTTTCCCAAACTTTAGAATAGCATAGACTCTTTTTGGGACTATCCATAGCTGAGTTAAACTCTATTTACTCTGAGTTTGGGCTTGCTGGCACAACAATGCTTTAAACTGGATTATATGAGTCTACACTGCCATATAACCCAGTTAAAGCAGATTATCTGAGGCCCGTTCTACACTGCCATATAAAATCCAGATTATCTAGTTCAAAGCAGATAATGTGGCTTTGCTTCTGGTGTGAGAGAATTGGCCATCTGCAAGGACTTTGCCCAGGGGACGCCCGGATGTTTTGATGTTTTATCATCCTTGTGGGAAGCTTCTCTCATGTCCCCGCATGAGGAGCTGGAGCTGATAGAGGGAGCTCATCCACCCTCTCTTCAGATATTTATAATACTAGAGACCAAGTTGAAGTACTTTGGTCACATCATGAGGAAACAGGAAAGCCTAGAGAAGACAATTATGCTGGGGAAAGTGGAAGGTAAAAGGAAGAGGGGCCAACCAAGGGCAAGATGGATGGATGGCATCCTTGAAGTGACTGGACTGACCTTGAGGGAGCTGGGGGTGGTAACGGCCAACAGGGAGCTCTGGTGTGGGCTGGTCCATGAGGTCACGAGGAGTCGGAGACGACTGAATGAATGAACAACAACAGCAAGAAGATAAAGTTGTTGGAAATGGATATGTTTCAACTCCTTTGGAGGAAACTGATTTTTTTTATTAATTTCAGTAAGCTTCCAGTCCTGGATTTGTAACCAAAACTGCCTTGATCACTCTGTGGATGATATCCTCAATTGGGAGAGGAAGGGAGTGAATGCAATTCTGTTGGTTGTTCTGGATAAGCACCAAGTGTTAGTTCAAGTAAAACAGAGACACTTAGAATCATCCCTTAAATACAACCCGGTGAGAACAAATAGCCTTGCAACAACTATTTGGCTTTTGATTACCTCTTATTTGGATCATGCATGTACCATTTCACACATATATGGTGCATTATTTGGCCACATCATGAGGAGACAGGAGAGCCTAGAGAAGACAATTATGTTGGGGAAAGTGGAAGGAAAAAGGAAGAGGGGCCGACCAAGGGCAAGATGGATGGATGGCATCCTTGAAGTGACTAGACTGACCTTGAAGGAGCTGGGGGTGGTGACGGCTGACAAGGAGCTCTGGCGTGGGCTGGTCCATGAGATCACGAAGAGTCGGAGACGACTGAATGAATGAACAACAACAACAACAGTATAATGCTACTAATACAATATTATAATTATATATTTTATATTGCATGTAATATTACTAATATTACAATATAATGGCGTAGTACAGTATAGTAATATATAATACTGATGTTGTACTATGCTAATAATATAATGTATTGTATGTATATATATATATCTTGTAAGCCGCTCTGAGTCCCCTTCGGGGTGAGAAGGGTGGCATATAAATGTTGTAAATAAATAAATAAACTGCCGTGCCTCAATTCTTTGGAACTTGTAGTTTGTAGTGAGAAGTTGTAGTTTGGTGATGCATCAGCACTCTCTGGCAGAGAAGCCTTTGGATCTTGTTAAACTACAACTCGCATGGTTCCAGTTAAAGCGAGACCAAAGTAGATTAAATGTCCAGTGTTGATGCACACACACAAAGTAGAAAGCTTTCTTATAGGCTGTGTAAGTACTATGTACACTCAGTTAATTATTTTACAGGCAAGCACATGCACATAACCCTTTCTCACACTCTAAATCTCCTGGGTTGGAAATCAGGTATTGGCCAATGGGTGAGCTCAATCTATTTGGCCCAATGGCTTGCACATGTGTTGGACTAAGCCTTGCCAGGTGACCCCTATTAGGTCTTGATGGCTCATGGTTAACACCTGCTGTTACTCCGGCATCTATGCAACTAGAGCCAGCAAAACTCCACTAATACTAAACATATACATAATTTCTCCCTAGAAGCTAACTACATAATTAAACAAAGGCTCTGATACTTTGGACACATAGGGCCCTTGCACACAGCTGAATGAAATCTCACATTTTCTACTTTGAACTGGAATATATGGCAGAGTGAACTCAGATAACCCAGTTCAAAGGAGATATTGTGGAATTTTCTGCCTTGATATTCTGCTTTATATGGCTGTGTGAAAGGGCCCATAGAAAGGACCAATGAGTGCTCAGAGTTTGGAAATGCTGGTAGCTAAGAAAATGAAGTTGGGAATCAGCTAGACTTTGAAGCTGCAAGGTCATTCAATGCGAATCAAAGGTGCCAATTGCGGCATTCACATTTGCCTCAAGCAGAAAACAGTTCTTTCTCCCACCCTGGACATTATTCCACAGATATATAAACCCCACTTGCCTACTTTCCAATAGACCTCACACCCTCTGAGGATGCCTGCCATAGATGTGGGTGAAACGTCAGGAGAGAATGCTTCTGGAAAATGGTCATACAGCCCAGAAAACTCACAGCAACACAAAGTGAGGACCCTTTCACACAGCCCTATACCCCAGAATATCAAGGCATGAAATCCCACATTATCAGTGTGGACTTAGGTCCCTTCGACACAGCTTAATAAAACCCCACATTATCTGCTTTGAACTGGAATATATGGCAGTGTGGACACAGATAACCCAGTTCAAAACAGAGATTGAGGGATTTTCTGCCTTGATATTCTGGGATATAAGGCTGCGTGGAAGGGCCTTGAGTCCACACAGCCATATATTCCAGTTCAAAGCAGAAAATGGGCCCTTCCACACAGCCCTGTATTCCAATATATCAAGGCATGAAATCCCACATTATCAGTGTGGACTTAGGTCCCTTCCACACAGCTTAATAAAACCCCACATTATCTTCTTTGAACTGGAATACATGTCATTGTGGACACAAATAACCCAGTTCAAAACAGATATTGGGGGGATTTTCTGCCTTGATATTCTGGGATATAGGGCTGTGTGGAAGCCCCAGTATCTGCTTTGAACTGGAATATATGGCAGTGTGGACTCAGATAACCCAGTCCAAAGCAGATAATGTGGGATTTTCTGCCTTGATATTCTGGGATACAGGGCTGTGTGGAAGACCTCTGAGTCCACACTGCCATATAACCCAGTCCAAATCAGACGATGTGGGATTTTCTGCCTTGATATTCTGGGATACAGGGCTGTGTGGAAGGGCTCTGAGTCCACACTGCCATATATTCCAATTCAAAATAGATATTGTGGGATGTCTTGCCTTGATATTCTGGGATACAGGGCTGTGTGGAAGGACTCAGAGTCCACACTGCCATATATTCCATTTCAAAGCAGATAATGTGGGATTTCCTGCCTTTGTATTCTGGGATACAGGGCTGTGTGGAAGGGCTCTGAGTCCACACTGCCATATATTCCAACTCAAAACAGACATTGTGGGATTTCTTGCCTTGATATTCTGGGATACATGGCTGTGTGGAAGGGCTCAGAGTCCACACTGCCATATAACCCAATTCAAAGCAGATATTGTGGGATGTTCTGCTTTGATATTTTGGGTTATACAGCTGTATGGAATGGTTCTGGGATATAGGGCGGTGTGGAAGGGCCCAAGGTCTTTCTCTAGCTCGCGAAACTACAGCTGGACGGCCAGCATTAAGCCAGGGCACTTAAAGAGGTCTCAGGCGTCATTCATTAATCTACAGTGGAGATGCACTCTGTAACTCTCCGAAGAGGAGTTTGTGGCCGCGTATTGGTCGCAGCCGGTGCCAATCCGGGCGCGAGAGCCAACCCGGGCTCGGCGGAGGCGGGGCTAAGGAGCCTCCTCTACGGCTTCGGGTGCCCGAGTGCCTTGGAGTGGAGAAAATTGCCGCGAAGAAGTGGCTGCCTGCCTGCCTCTCTCTCCGGTGGCTTGCCAGCAATCGCGGCGTCCCTCCTTTCCAAAGGAAGGCAAAGTAAGGAAGGGATCAGATCCAGAAGCAAGGCGAGCCCTGCCTCTTGCCAGCTTCGTGGAGAGGGGAGCGCGGCTGGAGGGGAAAGCAAGGCTGTGGACCGGAGGGCGACGTCGGGGAGGAAAGGACGAAGCCGCGGAGGAAGAAGAAGAGCAGCCCAGCCCCGACCTCGAGCATGACTGGACTTCTGGCCAAGATGCGCACCCCGCTCTTCTGGGCCGTCTTGGCCGGGATGGCCTCCGTCTTCCTCTTCCAAGGTAGGCAGCCACGCCGGTTGGTTTGCTTTCCTTTCGGGTTGGATCCGGAGTGGAATTAGGGATTCTCCGGGAGCCCCTCTTTCCCTCAATCGCCTTTTAGGGGGGCTCCTGGAAAAGGCGCGTCGGGTGCGCGAATTGGAGGGGAGGGATTGATCGGATCGATGGATTGACGGATGGATCGGCTTTGTGGCCACTCTGCGGTTGCGTCTCCAGCCTCTCCTTGAAACCTGCAAAGGAGGAAAGCCAATAGTTCAGGCTAGGCATCCACTCTCAGCTGGCTCTTTCCTAAAGCGCCCCTCTCGAGCTGGCTCTTTCCTAAAGCAATGGCGAGGATTGGAGGGCGATGCAAGGAGGACGAAAACTTCAAGGCACAAACTTCTGCCGTTGCTAAGGCGCCAAAGGGGAAGGTGGGGGGGGGGGGAGGGGAGGAACATAGCTGGGAATGGCCAACATCCCCCCCCCCCTTCTTCATCTCTCCCTTGGAAACCTTGTTGTCTTCCCATCCAAGATCTGTGGATGATGGGCTGATTTTTGGTCGGGCGGAAAGGTAGTGGGGAAGGGAAGGTTGTCAAGAAGGGAGAGTTCATCTCTGTCTGCATCTACACTGCAGAGTGAATGCAGTTTGACACCACTTGCTTTCAACCTATATGGGATCTTAGACGTAATGGCTTGGTGAGGCAACATCTCTCCTTGGCAGAAGAGGCTCATGCCCTTCCCAAATTGCATCTCCCAGGACTCCAGGGCATACCACCCTGAACATGCCCAATCTTGTCCCATCTCAGAAGCTAAGCAGGGTCAGGCCTGGTTAGTACTTGGATGGGAGATTCCAGGGTGTTAGACCATGTCAGCTAAAGTGGTGTCAAACTGGGCTCCTCTCCTTGAAAGAAGGGATTTACAGATGGTGCAGCTCCCCCTGTTTTTCTGAAATTGGAGTTCTCAACTTTGTCTTGGAATTCATGGTGTCCTAGACTCGATGAAATATGTGAATTGTAGATGCACTTCCAGAGTGTAGGCATCCTACCAGATCAATCCTAGCATGAGTTAGGACAAGACCCATTGGGACTCCAGAGTTTATCCAAGTGTGAACTGATCCTTCATTGGAGTCTGATTTGGTTGGGTTGGCCAACCCTGAGCTGCCTCTATGGACCCCCTCCCCCTCCTTTCTCTCCCCTCTCCCCATTCCCCACAAGAGCATCCTTCTAGCTCCTTTTCGGCAGCTTTGATTCTTCTCCAAGATGCATTTCACGGCAATGCGAGAGTTTGTTGTTGCTAAGTGTCTCTTCCACCCCCTCGTGGGGCTTGGCGTCTGGTTTTTTTCCTCCTCCCCATCGTTGCTCTTCTGGTTTTGAGATCTGGCAAGAAAGTGGGGGATTGGGAAGAGATCCAGAAGATAGCAAGGGAGGGAGATGGGAGATGTCTGCTCATCCTATGCCCTGTTGGGTCCACCTATCTCCCCACAACCAGACTCATGGATTTGGTGAGAGAGAGAGAGAGAGAGAAAGAATGGAGGGATATTGAATGAGATAAATGTTTTGACATTTGTGTCCCCCTCCCCATCCCCTCCAGGAGGTTTTGTGTCTCCTCCTGACACGTGCGGCCTTTCCATAAACTTGATTAAATACTTTTCTTGTAATCCTCCCTGACCTCTCCAGCTGAGGTCAATAGACTTGAGGAAGAGACTTAATGCACTCCACTATGGAGCCCAGAGAGCTTTCTTAGGGTGGTGAGCGTGGAGTCGGGAAAAGACACTCTTATGGGTTAATCCCAAGATAAGGGAAGGGGAAAAACCAAAAGTTTGAGAGGACTCTATTGGCAACTGTCAGCTGTGTACATGTGAGGCTAGTGGCAATTTATGGTTCAGATCTCCATTGGGTTTGCTTCACTTTAAATGTGCTCTCCAAGGTGCTGAACCTCCTCTGGAAAGATACAGTTCAGGACTTTGGACAGCTCACTAAAACTTGGAGTGGTTTCACAGACCTAATGACATGGGAGCTGCCCCATATGAAGCAGAGAGAGGTATGGAAAGTTGAGTTTTCTAACACATGTTTTTTGGAATATGTGCATTTGTGTGTGTGAAGGAAACGATCCCATATATCTTTCAGCATCCACAACACTGGCAAGTATTACAGTCTGTGTTAGTCGCCTGGATATGGATGTGTGTGTGTATTTTTGCATACCTTTCCTGACATGTTTTTTGAACTTTCAAATAAAAAAAACTTCCAATATTTATTAGCAATCCGGAATGAAAAGAAAGCATGTCTGTTCTGTGACTTTTGAATTCCCCACCACATCTCTTTGGAGACATTAAATTATAATGCATTCAACTATATGTGAATAGCTTAGAATCCCCTATGGGTGCTGCACCATATTTTAAAGATTTAAAGATGTATTATTTATGTTAACATTTGATTAAAGAAATATTTAATGGTTGCGTTAAAATGGGAAAGTGTCTGACAGACCATCAAAACAAAGATGAGATGGTCTCTGCCTGAAGGTTTAACATCTTAAAAGATATACAAGGAAAAGAGAAGGGAGAGAAAAGAGAAAAGCAAAGAAACTGGGGCACAGGTTCTTTGGGTTATGTTGTACGTCATCCTGTTGGAATGGCTACTACAGTGGTTCCCAAACTCTGGCTCTCCAGATGTTTTGGACTTCTGCTTCCAGAATTCCTGCTGGCAAACCCAACAATGGCTGCTAGGAGTTGGTCTGTCTGGAAGACACAAGTGAGGGGACCTAGTGGGATATTGAGTGATGGTTGGGGAGAAGTAGAACCAACTGGCCTTCTAGGAAAGCTGATGGTAGCCACGCTATACTCCTCTCTCTCTCTTCTTTAACAATATACTGTAGTTGCTTTCAGAGTTGTTGAATGTAGCTTTGGACAGTTACAACTTAGCACATTGTCTCATATTTTATCTATTGAGTACAGCTATGCAAGACACATCCCATGTCTTCATTTTTCTGGATGGTAAGGGGCCGTGATGGCAATGTGTTAAACCACTAAGCTGCAGAACATGCTGACTGGAAGGTTGGTGGTTCGAATTCATGGATGGGGTGAGCTCCCATTGTTAGCCCCAGCTTCTGCCAACCTAGCAGTTCCAAAGCATGCAAATGTGATTAGATCAATAGGTACCGCTTTGGTGGAAATGTAACGGTGCTCCATGCAGTCATGCCAGCCACATGACGTAGGACAGGGGTCCTTAAACTTTTTAAACAGAGGGCCAGGTCACAGTCCCTCAAACTGTTGGAGGGCCAGATTATAATTTGAAAAAAAAAACATGAATGAATTCCTATACACAGCATATATCTTATTGGAAGTGCAAAAAAACCCCTTAAAAACAATACAATAATTAAAATGAAGGACAATTTTAACAAATGTAAACTTATTAGTATTTCAATGAGAAGTGTGGGCCTGCTTCTGGCTGATGAGATAAGATGGTTGTTGTTGTTGTTGTTGTTGTTGTTGTTGTGTGCTTTCAAGTCATTTCAGACTTAGCTTGACCCTGAGCGAGGGCCGGGTAAATGACCTTGGCCCCTGGGCCTTTGTTTGGGAACCCCTGACCTAGGAGGTGGCTATAGACAATGCTGGCTCTTCGGCTTAGAAATGGAGATGAGCACTCCCCCTCCCCCCAGTTTGACAAGACTAGACTTAATGCCAAGGGGAAACCTTTACCTTTACTTAAGGGAGAAGCTCCCCATTCTAATAACTCAAGGGGTATTATTGCCTCAGCTGTTGTTGCTGTTGTTGTGGTGGTTGTTTGCCTTCAAATTGTTTCCAACCAATGGTGATCCCAAGGCAAAGCTATCATAGGTTATTTTTGAGCAAATTTTGTTAGGAAGGGTTTTGCCTTTGCTTTTCTCTGAGGTGGAGAGAGTTGCTTATGACTACCCCCAGACTTCCATGGCTGAGCAGGAATTTGAACACTGGTCTCCAGAGTCATAATCATATAGTCAAACCAGTATACCAGTGGTTCCCAAACTCCAGGTGTTTTGGATTTCAGCTCCCACTATTCCTAACAGCTGGGATTTCTGGAAGTTGAAGTCCAAAACACGTGGAGCACCAAAGGTTGGGAACCACTGCACTACACCATGGTGTCTGCAGTTCAGACAGCAATCATATCAGAAATCTCATTCACAAACTTAAAGCTCGCTGCTTATAGAAAGCCAGCACTTAGAGGAGAAGGGATGCATTCCTTTCTGGTCAACTGGCAGGTTTCTATCACGCAGGGAGCTGTTTTGCATGAGTAAGTGTTCTCAAAGGTATGGACCATCCTCGAGTACAGCGGTCCAAGGCCTTTAGTGTGTATATTTTTAGCATTTTAGCATTCCAAATGGTTTCCCGAATATGGCAGTGGATCCTATTTATTTATTTACAGTATTTATATTCCTCCCTTCTCACCCCACAGGGGACTCAGGGCAGATTACAATGTACATATACATGGCAAACATTCAATGCCATAGACACACAACATATATAGACAGACACTCAGAGGCTATTTAAAAATCCAACTTTTTTCATGAGGGTATTCTGGCCACCAGGGGAGCTGTCGCTTCACCGTCCATTTGTGACACTGATGAAGTACTTCCTCATTCATTGAATGCTTGCTGGAGATTTTTATGACCTTGTAAATTAGTTAAATTAGCCTCCCCACATAAGTGGTACCTTAATTTCCTATTTGACAGATGCAACTGTCTTTCGGGCTGCAAAGGTCGACAACAAGCTACACAAATTGGTCAGAAGCTCACTCTGACCCAGGCTGGCTTCGAACTCATGGCTCTTCGGTCAGTAGTGATCTTAATGCAACTGACTCTCAGCCAGCTGTGCCACAGTCCTGGTGCTATTACCCCCTCTTTACTAGTTTATTTTGGAGTGGATGTGGGGTGAAACATTATGACATATTTCCCTCCCATGGAAGTGATCTTCCACCTACTTACAAAATAGCAACCTTGTACATTTGTGCTGTCTTGAGGATGAATGGTCAGAATATGTGGAGTACTTCCAG